AGGAATCCACAAAGATGACCCCACCTGGGAGTGCTGGCAGTGGTCTAGAGGGTACCTGGACTGGTCTACTCTAGTGACCGGTCTAGTAAATACCCTAACCGTCATCATAGAGCCTTTGTCCAGTGGCTGATGGAGGCAGATGCAGAGATCCAAGGCCAGGCACCAGGCTGAGCTCCGGGAATCTAAGTGATGAGAGAGAGGAGGGATTCTGCATGTGGGGGGACATCGAGATCATGATGAGAGGATGTACAGAGATGAGCGGCCACACTGGCAGAAGCCTATGAACTGTAGACTAGTGGTTGTGGAGCCCCCATGGGACTGGACTAGGCCCTGTGGATACAGAAAATGGTTGTTTGGCTCTAACTGCTTGGGGGGCACCCAGTCAGGGGATCGGGAGCCATCCCTGGTGCATGGGCAGGATTTTGGGAGCCCAGTGCCTGTGGTGTGATGACTTGCGCAGCAGCCTTGGTGTAGTGGGGAGGGGCTTGAACTTGTCTAGGCTCAGTGTGCTGGGCTCTGCTGACTCCCCATGGAAGACCTTGATTTGGGAGTTGTGGGGATGTGAGGTGGCTTGGGAGGGAGGGCTGGGTGGTGGGAGGAGGGAGGAGATGGGATCTGTAGGTGGTGTGTAGAGTGAGTAGAAAATTTCTTAATAAAGAAAAATGAAGAAAAAAAATGATTGTGTTTTCAGGACTGGAGGGAGAGATGGCTGGGCAGTTAACAGCACCAGCTACTCTTCCAGAGTACCCGGCTTCAATCCCTAGCACCTACATGCTGACTCAGAACAGTCTGTTACTCCAGTCTCAGGAGATTTGATGCCCTCTTCTGGCCTGTACTGGCGCTGTGCTTAACTATCTTATACATAAATAATTGAAACCATGAACAGAGAGAGCTATAACACTTCTGATGCCTTCCTTTTTCTAAAATTCAGAATCCACCATTCGTTGGTCACTCCACTGCAATGGACTGTTGAAACATATTGAAATCATTTCTGATACTCAGAAAATAGTCAAGTCTGAAGAATAAGTCTAAGTGCTGAGCATTGCTTGCGCTGTTTGTCCTTTGTCTCTATCACAGCTCAGAGTGGCCACCCCACTTTCACTATGATGCCATTTAGAGGAGGTCTGTGCTGACTGCACAGAGTTGCAGAACAGAGCTGAACAAAGCCAATGTTTTGTTTCACATTTTTCAGCTCTGCTGACTCACACTTGATAGCTAATCCTTTTGAATATCAGGTTCTGTACCTAGACAATGGGAGTGTGTGTCCATTGCAGTTTTGTTGTGAGATTAATAAAGATAATTGTATGCAAATGACAGAGGCATTTGTTCACACTTTAGGGGTAGGAAACATTTTTAATTAAATGAAAATTAAATGCCAGCAGATTTTACTAATAACTCCATGATCTGAAAAGAATCAGTGTTACAACATGTCAAGAGACCTTATCATAAATCCACAGTAAGCAAGTATAGTCTCTAACACCTTCTCAGTACCTGACTAAGCCATCAGTATGTGAAATACACTGACTTAATTTTAATTTTCCCTTTGTCCTCACTGGATAATTAAGGTCTAGAGCTTTCTACTAGCTTCAGGCTTCTGAGCTTGAGTCAGAGACTCTAACTGCTCTCAATGTATCAGTCACCTACAATGTAAATAAGAACAGAAGTGAGAGCCTTTCCCAACCAAATACCTGCCTTTTATTCTGATGACATTTTTATAGTCTCAGCTCCTCAAACTCAGCAATGGTTTTGGCTGCCACAAACCATCTCCATACTCCTAGTTATCCTGGGCAGACTGGCTTATTTGGACAGGTGCCATTGCAGTGCCTCTCCTGTGGATGGCAAGCTCTCTACAGGGTAAGTGATGAAATGAACAAAATTAGTTTGTAAATTTATTTCTTCTTGAACAAATGAAAAGTCATCTTAACCCAAAGCCCTTTTACTTACCATTTAAGAGCAAAGTGCTGACATGGGATTATGATGGGATTTTATAAGTAGGCTTATTCCATTTACTTTTATAAATATCTGGAGGCTATGTATTCTATAGGATGAATAATTGAATGTCCCCACTGACCAAGGAATTTAATCCCTACACATAGTAAGGGTGATGTTGGGTACCTGTGTGCATCATACAAGAGAAAAGAGGTTCTCGTCAAATATGACAAGGTCTTGGGGACCACTGTTGTTTATCTCTTTGAGAAAAAAGTTCTTGAGTTTGTTGTACAGAAATGTCCTATGTCTTTAAGGTCTGATTGTCCTTCTCCAGGGGACATACATAAACTATGGTGTGCTTTCCAACACTCATCCCTTGTATATGGAAAGTGAAGATGTTTGTTTCCCAATTGAATATCCAATGTACAGAACAAATAGCTTACATGCTTCAGTAGAGTTAGTACACTAGAATGTACTTCCTGATAAACTTTCAAATTGAAAACAAGTGTTAGATTTGGTGGACAGAGCAGGAAGTAATGAAATGATTATTTCCACTTGTTCTTCATTTTATTGAAGAGGAATAAAATTATTTCAGAACTCAGTAAATTAGTAAGAGGAAGTGAGCCTTCTTTAGGTGTCTTGAATCTCTTTCTTCCCACCCCACAGTGAAGCAACTGAATCTATTCTGAGGCATTCAAGCACTAGCATTCCATTGAGACAGTAAGCAAGAACAAAGAATAGGAAATGTTTGAATCATTTGCCCTACATGCCACCTGCATTAAATGTCTTGAGGGTTCACATTGTCCGTGATCATTTCTACATCTCTTTGGACTAGTCAAGGATCTGAATGTGTTTCATTTTGTTGTAGGAAATAATTGTCTGGCTACACAATTATGTTCTTCAACATAAATCCATCAGAATATTTTCTTCACTTACAGGCTGACCCACTAAAATAGGCCTTACTGTGGATCTTTATATGGCTCTTTAAATCAGATCCAGCCTACCTCAATTATATTAAAAAACAATATTGAGGGATACACATATTTTAACCATAAGGACCTTGGCCTTATTTCCTGAGCAATTTGAGTCCTGTTTCTTTTTTCTTTCTTTCTTTTTTTTTTTTGGAGCTGAGGATTGAACCCAGGGCCTTATGCTTGCTAGGCAAACGCTCTACCACTGAGCTAAATCCCCAACCCGAGTCCTGTTTCTCAAAGAAAACACTATTCTACAATCCTGATTGATAAAAGTGTCCCCTCTTATGGCCTATTGCACCTCTTTGTTTTTGTTTGTATTGTATGTGTAAATGACCAAGCACTTCTGGAAACATGTGACTTCTATATAATATTTTAATTACTTTAGGTGAGACAATGGCTTAATTGTTTCCACACAAGCATGATACCTGGCATTTAATAAATGTTGAGATTGTGTCCAACAGTTGTGTTTCCAACAAAACTGTCAAAAATAGCCCTTGGAGGTCTGTATCCCCCCTCTGTGCAAGGTGCTTAACTGGAGAAGGAAATTTGATTTTTTCACAGAGATTTTTTTATGACTGTAGCTTTGTTCTCCATGAACAGGAGAAGGAATGCCCTCTTAGGACAGTTGCATGGTTTTCAGTTCCACTGTGTGACAGGTCCTTTCCATAAATTACTTAATTGTCTACTTTTTAGTATGTATTTAAAGTAAATAAATATTAAGATATGAGAAGTTTAATGGCTGGTATAACATTGTCATAATTTTCACTTATATCTGTTTTCATTTGTTCTGTATTATCCTCTGACTAATATTGTACTCTAAAGTTTTGCTTAGTAAACCATGAATATATTCATTTTGTTAGTTTCTAGAAAATATCTCCAAACCCTGATGTCTCCAGCCCTATTGTCCTGAGGAACGAGGTTCTAACTTTTGCTTTAAAAGATAATAAACACTAAACTGAGCCTGTGCTCTGGGATTCCCGTGTGAAAACCATTTTCACCTACTTTTCCAGAAGTCATGGTGATGTGATGATTGTGTCAGTCAAAATATGTACTTTCTGCAAGGAAATTGTGCAGTATAACCTGTAACATTATCTCTGGGTTTTTTTTTGTAGGGGGGATTTTTTTTTTTAAATCCTAATTTTTTCATAGACACAGAACCGTGACTGTTGTGGAAGCACTAATCAAAATTCTTTGGTTAAAATGGTCTTCTAAATTGTTATATATACCATTACATCAGAAATGTGGTTTTGATGTGTATTTAAACATGGATGGAATGCTAGCCAAATTTGTACAAGGAGTATCATCTAACCTGGTTATGGTGTGCATAAAATTGATCTTCTTTACAAAGCCAATTGTCCCCAAAGATTGATGTACTAACTGAGGCTTGATTACCATGGACAAATCACGTCACAAGAGTGCTCACATTAGATTTATCATAGTATGATATAAGTCAGGTGTGTGGAAAACAGAACCAGAGGAATTAAATCAACATCTGTGTTGCATGGAGCATAGAATCAGAGGGAATGGCTCTTCACTTCTTTGGAGAAACTGCTTGATTTCTCCAAGGCTTGATTTTCTCATATGTAAATTTAGTATAATTTAAAATGCCAGCCTCATAGATTCATTATAGAAACTAAATGCAAAGCCAAAGACCATTGGTGACTAAGTCTCTCAGTTTTAGTATCAATCTCACATCTCTGCTCTTTCATGAGTTTATGGTTGATCAACATTCATTTTCCTATGTCCAGACAATTTTTTTACAAAATAAAAAATTATGATGCCACTTTATTTGGTTTCTGTCAGGATAAATCAGTTAATATATAATTTATTTATAACAGGGTCATAAAATGCCAAGCATTAATTATTGTTTGCTACATAAACTAGACAACTAAACATATCTTGATATATGCAGAGTTCCATAATAGTAATAATTATTGCTGTATTATTATAACTTGACAGATTTTAAGGTGTCTTCTTACTATAGAAGTGTAGAAAGGTGAGCGTTGTTGCAAAGGAATAGGATTTCAACTTACACAATCAGTTGATCAGCAGATGGTAGGCACTTATAGAGGCATGCACAAGTAAAATCCTTACACTCTATAGATATACTCTGATGGTGGCCTTTCTCAGGGCCTCCTTTACATCTCTGTTCCTCAGACTGTAGATGAGGGGGTTAAGCATGGGGATCACCACTGTGTAGAACACAGACACTATTTTGTTTTGTTCAGTAGAGTAATTGGACTTGGGCATTACATAAATGAATGTGATGGTCCCATAGTAGAGAGTGACTGCAGTGAGGTGGGAGGTGCAGGTGGAGAAGGCCTTTTGGCGGCCCTCAGTAGAGCGCATCTTCAGGATGGTGATGAGAATGTAGGTGTAAGAAATAGCTATGACAAACACTGTGGCCACAATAATGGATCCAGCAGAGATAGAGGGGATAATTCCAATAATGGAAACATCTGAGCAAGAAAGTTTCAACACAGCAGGGAAGTCACAGAAAAAGTGATCTATCTGATTTGGTCCACAGAAGGACAAACTCAGCAGACAACTAGTAAACATCCATGAATTCACACATCCACCTACATAGGAAACCCCAACTAAGAGGAAGCAAATCCTGGGGGACATATGCGTGGCATAGAGCAGGGGTGAGCAGATGGCCACATATCGGTCATAAGCCATGACAGCTAAGAGAAAGCACTCAGCTGTCCCAAATGTCACTGCAATGCAGAATTGGGCTTCACAGGCAGCCACAGAGAGTACCATTCCATATCCAAGGAATCCTGTAAGCATTATAGGTGTGATAGTCGTGGAAAACCCAATGTCCACAAAAGCCAGATGGCTAAGGAACAGATACATGGGAGTTTGGAGCTGGGGGCAGCTTCTTATTAAAGTGATGATGCTGATATTGCCTACTAAAGTAACAGCATATATTCCTAGAAATACCATAAAGAGGATGACATGTAGTGTGGAATTCTCTGTTAACCCCAAAAGAATGAACTCTGTCACGGTGGTGTGGTTTTGAGCCTCCATCTCCAGTGTGAAATGTCCCTGTTGAGGGAAATGAGAAATTCATTTCTTTAGGGTTTTTTTCATACTTACTATAATTTTTTTATTATTCCACAGATTCAATAGTAGTCTCTTCCTTTGACCAAGTTATAAATATCTGTGGTTTGCAGAATTAGGGATTTTGTTCCTTCCTCTTTGAATAAAATGGGACTAGTTAAGAATCACCCTGCTTATTTCAGTTATCTTCTTTATTTCATTTTATTTTTTGAGACAGTGTTTCTCTGTGTAGTTTTGTGCCTTTCCTGGATCTTGCTCTGTAGACCAGGCTGACCTTGAACTCACAAAGATCCACCTGCCTCTGCCTCCCAAGTGCTGGGATTAAAGGCGTGCGCCGCCACCACCGCCTGGCTTATCTTCTTTTTATGTAATACTTATACAAGGTATCCTTAAACCTTGACTTCAGAGATCCTTCCCTCAATGTCAAGGTCCATAATTTCAATGATCTCTTGAGAGTCTCCTCTTGTGCCAATCAATTAGAACTCCTATATACACTTCAAACTTTGTCATTCCATAGTCTTCTTCAACCCCTCCACCAATATTTTTATATGTATTTATTTTTATGTATATGATTATTGTGCTTGCATGCATGTCAATATACTAGATGCATGCCTTGTGCCCATGGAGATCAGAAGAGGGTATTGGATTTCCTGGAAATAGAGCTATGGACAGTTGTGAGCCACCATGTGGGTGCTGGGCATTAAATTCAGGTCCACTGCAAGAACAGCTAGTGCTCTTAACTTCTGAGCCATCTCTCCAAGCCCCCCATCCTAGTCAGCTCATTCATTCACAATCTCATGTCTGCAACTTGTCAGACTTCCAGGCCATCTTCCTCATATTGTACTCCATCTAGTTAAATCCTATTGCTTTTGTCTATAATTTATTTCCAATTTTCCTTTCTTCAGCTCCCTTTTCCATCCTCTGTGTACCCACTAGCCTTAAGTTCCTGGTCATTTTTATTCTGCATTCTGTCTGCTAATTTACTTTCACATTCATTTCTTCTTGTACTTTATAATAATATGACATAATGACTTCTTTCTAATAAAAAGCTGATAGTGCCAAAATCTAATTCTTTTGATGTTTTTTAGATCTTCATGGTGAACTATAACCTCATTGGCACAACACTCAGTATCCTTTCTGACCTCTCCCTGCATTTCACTGTTTCTCAGCATCTTCTCATGCATTCTCCCACTAACCTAGATACCCGTCATTATCCTAGGTGCTTAGCCTCAGCCTTCAAGATTACTTCCTTTACAAAGCCTTCTAGGTCTCATGAGGATGGATCTGATTCACTTTCTTTGAAGACATATGCTTCTACAGATGTCTGAAGTGCCATTGTGTACATTGCACCATGATCTATGGCTTGCTTACCTTTCTTTTTCCTCAATTAAAACATATTACCATTAATAACTTTTACCTTTGTCTTAAAAATACCCAGTGTTTGGCAGAAAATGTGCTAAAATTTTTGAATGAGTATATATATATATACACTCATGTATATATGTGTGTGTATATGAGAGAGAGAGAGAGAGAGAGAGAGAGAGAGAGAGAGAGAGAGAGAGAGAGAGAATCTTTTTCAGATAAGGTCTTACTATACATAGACTAGCCCTAGCTCATCTCAAACTTGTGATAATCATGTTTCAACATGAGAGTACAGGCATGTGCCACCATGCCTTGTTTACATATATTTAAATAATCCCATGCTTAGTTATTTTTTTAAAGGCAACCATTTAAAAACAGTGTATTTTGTGCTTCATGGTAAGTTCACCACTAAGATTTACAATAGAGAAAATACTAAGCAAATTGTCCCCTATTGCTCATTGATGGGTTGTGTTGTTGGCTGCATCTTGATTGAAGGTGTTAATATTCTTCATCTCCCCAAACATGGTATAATATTCTCATAAGTATAATAGTCTCCTTACAATATTATCACATCTGAAGGAGTTAAACAATTGCAAGTTATAATGCTATCAGTATTAAATGTCCTCTAAATGTATTAATTCTTTTAAGTTTTTCAATTTCCTCAGAGTAAATAAGCATATAATCCATCTGTTGGTGCAACTGATCACCTGACTTGGTGAATTGGGAGGTTCAGTGAATCAACAGCCAAGAACCTGCAACTCATTCAAGATTGTCCCCTGTCTCTTCTTTCCTGGGTCTTCCTCTTTAAGTTACCATTATAGCAGGTAGATTATTTCCTTTGATGTTAGCCCTATCATTAGGTGTTTTTCTTTTAACATTATCAATTATTCACCATATGTTTAATGGTATGAATCTTCAACTTTCTATATAAAATCATTGAGATATTTGAAGCTGTCACACCTCTGTTGCTTTCCATTTTCTTAAAAAAAAAAGCACCCACAGTTCCTTTTTCTATCGTACCTGCAGCATGGTTTCCAGCTCCCTTGAAGTCTTCTTCAGACTGAACGTACTCAGGGCTGAAGAACAGACCAAGCACCCAGCCTTCCTGCTCTTTGCCTTTTGACTCAAGCAGAGTTCAAAGTGGCAACCCTGATCTCATTTTGACTTACACTAGTCATTCTGCACTAACTGCCAAGTTGTAAGTGGAAGCAGAGAAGGCAGAAACACAGGTCATCTATATTAAATTACACATGACACTTAAACTCTTTGGTACTCAACATATTTTTAACTTGAACAATGGGAGAACTGGCCCTATAGTACAGTTTTGTTGTGAGATTAAAGGAAGTGATATCTGTGAAATGCCAGAGGACCTGGTCACATATAGGAGTTAAGCATCTCTTTATTTAATAAAATGAAATGAAGTTGGGGTAGCTTTACAATGATTTAGTGTTTTGATGACTGTAGTTTTCTTTCAAAATGTCAGGTAGCTTTACCATAAATCCAAAAACAAGACAAGAGGTGCAGTACTTATGTGTTCTCAGTTCTGAATTCTGCTCTTTAAATATATAATACGTAGACTAATTTTTTGCTTCTCTTTTCCTCTCCATTGGACACTTAATATTGAGAATTCTACACTGGATTTCATGTTTATCAGCCTGGATCGGGGATACTGACCACTCAAATATCTTCTCCCTCAGAGGATCAGTCACGGTGGTGGGAAATAGAGAGGTTGGGAGAGTGAACCTTACCTAGTTGAAAACAGACTGTTGTTTCTGATTTCCTCTCCTCGCCTCAGTTCCTGAAGTCCAGTAACAATGATGGTTGCCACAGACCATCCATGCAGTACCCACATGCCGTAAGAATACTGCTCTACATATGCCAGAAGTCGACTGCACAGTGCCTCTTGGTGAGGGCATGGTTACCACAAAGGTCAAGAGCTCAAAAGTGCTTGATAATTTTCAATTTATTCTTAAGTTATTTAAAAATCCATCCTAATAAAGTCCATCAATCTGTCATTTACAGATTTTGACACTGAAATCCAAAGAGGATTTTATATAAAGTGGAGGTATTTTATTTTTTAGAGAGAGTTGGGTTCTGGACACTGAAATGTGAACCATTAATGCAATCACTGGTCAAGGACATAGCCACACACATGCAGAAAATATAAAGTTGAGTGTCTTTGTGTGCATTTTAAAAGAGGGGAAGAAAGGCTGTAATCAACCAAGGTAAACCTTCAGGGATTATTGCTGATTGCCGCTCAAGAGAAAGGTATATGTGTTTCTTGTACAGAAATAGCTTCTGGAGCCAGGTGATTCATTAAGTCCTGGCTTACTCTCCCCAGGTGACACCCACATGCTGTAGCATCCAATGGAATTCTTTTGTTACTTATTTACAGAAAGTGAAAGAGATAGCATGTGGCTTCCCAGAACAATATTTGACATTGAAAGTAATAATTTGTCTGGTTAGTTTGGGGCATTGTGATAATATTACTCTCCATTTACAATAAACTTTGAATCAAAATTAAAAGGAGTCTTGAGATAGCAGGCTAGAATAGTAGTAAATTAAATTAGTACTTGGGTTCGTTGCCCATTTTGCTGAAGAAGTAGAAAAATGATTCTAGAGCTTTGTAGATATAAAACTGACATTTTAAAAAAGGTGTTTGGACTTCTTTCTCACTGTTGTTTAGTAGAAAAACTAAAGAATCTCCCCTGAGACATCTGAGTATCCATGGTTCATTGAGTCATGAATCAATAAAGCCATTTGCACTCAGAAAAGATGACAACCCCAGTTTTATCCCTTACTTAATATTTCTTCCCCTACCCGAAATCTTTCCTGATTCTGTAATTTAAAGATTTTTTTTTAACCACTTCTTTAGGGAAAACATTGACATTTTTGTAGGAGTTACACTGAATCTGATGTGTGCTCTACAGAATATAGCTATTTTAACAGTTTGAATTCTTCCAGCTCACATATAGCAATGCCTGTCTCTGCATCAGTTTTTAATCTCACACTCTTTCATTAATGCCTTACAGTTTTCAGTACAGAGACTGTTTGCATCCTTCACTGATTTTGTGAAAGTTTTTATGTCTGGAAGTGTGGAAGTCACAAAACTATAAAGTTCCATGATCTCATGGAGTAAAAATGCATCTCTGATGTTCCCATAGAGTATTAGAGTTGTTTATCAAAAGATAAGTGTCATTGTGGTGGAGTGTTGCTAATGTTTTCCTGCCTGGCCCACAGTCAGGACAAACTCTCTCACCTGCCAGTCCCACAGCCCCTCAGACCCGACCAAGTAAACACAGAGACTTATATTGGTTACAAACTGTATGGCCGTGGCAGGCTTCTTGTTAACTGTTCTTACAGCTTAAATTAATCCATTTCTATTAATCTATACCTTGCCACGTGGCTTGTGGCTTACCGGTACTTTACAACTTCCTTGTCCTGATGGCGGCTGGCAGTGTCTCCCTTACCCAGCTTCCTGTTCTCTCAATTCTCCTCTCTGTTAGTCCCGCCTATACTTCCTGCCTGGCCACTGACCAATCAGTGATTTATTCATTGACCAATCAGCAACACATTTGACATACAGACCATCCCACAGCAGTGGAGTGTATGTATGTTAAGTACATGATGCAAACAGTCAGTGCTGAATCCACACTCCTCTGTAAAAACTATTCTATTTCTCCAAGGCTCACTCTTCTCATCTGTAAACAAAGCTCCCTTTTCTTATTTATAATGCCCTAACTCATAGATTCATTGGGAAATTAAATGTAGAAGCCACATGATTTTAGAGACCAACTCCTTAAATATGAATGACCTCAATTATTCTTCATGAGCATATGGGCAGTCTACTTTCTGTCTTCCCCAGGAAATTTTCCACAAAATAAAACAATAGTGCTACTTACTTAGGTTATTGTGAGAAATAGGTAAATTCATATATGCAACTAAAATTTATCCTGGCACACAGAAGGCACAAATTATTGTTTGCTACATAAATAACACAAAGGCAAAGATCTTGACATCTTGCAGAAGTTGTATAGTAGCAATGGTTATTCCTATCACTTTACTGACTTCAAGTGGCCCCACAAATGATATACGAGTGTATAAAGGTAAGGGTTAGTGCAAAGAAACAGGATTTAATATTAAACAATTAGTTAAGCATCATGTGGTAGATACTAAGTGTGACAAAGGAAATCATCCATTTCTTAAATTTGAAGAAGGTCTATGAATATACTCTGACAGTTGCCTTCCTCAGAGCATCCTTCACATCTCTGTTCCTTAGACTGTAGATGAGGGGGTTAAGCATAGGGATCACCACTGTGTAGAATACAGACAGTACCTTGTTCTGTTCAGTAGAGTAATTGGACTTGGGCATCACATAAATGAAGGTAATGGTCCCATAGTAGAGAGTGACTGCAGTGAGGTGGGAGGTGCAGGTGGAGAAGGCCTTTTGGCGGCCCTCAGTGGAGCGCATCTTCAGGATGGTGATGAGGATGTAGATGTAAGAGACAGCAATGACAAGCACTGTCACCACAATAATGGAGCCAGAAGAGATAGAGGGGATGATTCCAATAACAGAGACATCTGAACAGGACAGTTTCAGCAAAGGGGAGAAGTCACAGAAAAAGTGATCTATCTGGTTTGGTCCACAGAAGGACAGATTTAACAAACAGCCAGTAAATGTCCAACCATTCATGCAGCCACCAACATAGGAAGCTCCCAGCAGTAGAAAACAGAGTCTGGGGGACATGATCATGGAGTAGAGGAGAGGTGAACAGATTGCTACATAGCGATCATAGGCCATGGCAGCCAGTAGGAAGCACTCAGTCGATCCAAATGACACTGTAATACACAGCTGGGCTTCACAGGCAGCCACGGGTAGGGCCAGGCCATGTCGAAGGAGTTCCATCAGCATTATAACTGAGACTGAGGTTGAATATACAATGTCTACAAAAGCCAGATGGCTGAGGAATAGGTACATGGGTGTGTGCAACTGGGAAGAAATTCTTATCAACGTGATGATGCTGATATTTCCTACTAAAGTGACAAAGTACACTCCTAGAAATATTACAAAAAAGACTATGCACAGTGTAGGATCCTCTGTTAGTCCCAAAATGATTAGCTCTGTCACAATGGTGTGGTTTGAAGCCTCGTTCTTTTGTGTGAATTGTTCCTGTTGAGGAAAAAAGAAAATAATTTGTTTTTAAAATGTTCTGATTTTTCACATTGCTGAATTTTTCTTTATTTTCCTCATATTTATTCTTGGTTATCTTCTCATGTAAATACTGCCTTCTTTGGAATTTTGGTTTTGTATTTTTTCTTTGACTAAGATGAGAATGATGAACCTCATTTTCTGTCATTCATTATTTTTGCATGTACTATTTCTTTTTTTTTTTTTTTTTTTTTTTTTGGTTTTTCGAGACAGGGTTTCTCTGTGTAGCTTTGCGCCTTTCCTGGAACTCACTTGGTAGTCCAGACTGGCCTCGAACTCACAGAGATCCGCCTGGCTCTGCCTCCCGAGTGCTGGGATTAAAGGCGTGTGCCACCACCGCCCGGCCGCATGTACTATTTCTTAAATGTCACTACTCAATACTTCACTGTTAGGATCTCTCTTCAAAGGTCCAGGTTCATAATTTCAATATCTATTTATTCTCATGATGCTCATTGTTTATTTGAAATCTCAAAAAAACCTCTAACAGTGGGTTTCCATACCAAACTAATCCTTTTCTTCAACCATTCCACCTACATTTCATATCAGAGTGCTGATACTATCCAGCATCTCCTGTCTGCAACTTGGGAAACTTCCTTGCTTTTTTCTTATTGTACCACATATAATAAAAAATAGACGGGCGGTGGTGGCGCACGGCCGGACGGTGGTGGCGCACGCCTTTAATCCCAGCACTCGGGAGGCAGAGCCAGGCGGATCTCTGTGAGTTCGAGGCCAGCCTGGTCTCCAAAGCGAGTTCCAGGAAAGGCGCAAAGCTACACAGAGAAACCCTGTCTCGAAAAACCAAAAAAAAAAAAAATTATATACATTTATTTCCCAATTTTATCACTTTGTTAACTCAAAACCATAGCTATCACCTCAAAGGTCATAGAACTAGTTTATTCTCTAGTTAATTGAGTGATCATGGCCCAGGAATATGGAGTCAGCTTGCTACAACTACCATTATCCTATGTGATAACAGTTTTATAAGGCTTTTGTAGTTACAGGACAAAAGAAAGCCATAACTCAAGTCATTTTACAAATATATTTGTGGAATCATCAGGTAAGTAGATTACAGCAATAGTGGGGAAATCTCTGTTATAGGTCTCAGATCCTGTCTGGTTACACCCTTAGCTTTGGTGTTGGTAGAGGCTAGAAGCCTAAGGAAACATTCTAAAAGACTTCATGTAATAGTCACAAGGTGGGCAATGAATGGCTATAAATGGGCATAGCATAGCCCAAGAATATTAAATGTAAGTTTGTTTTTTTGTTTTGTTTTTTTCAGTTCACATCCTCATCTCTTGTTTGTTACCTCTGTCGTCAAGGCTCTGGTCATTCTTCTTTTGTATTTTGTTACATTTGCCTCACTTCTTTCATTATTTTTCTTCTATGTTTCACAACAATATAAAATTGTGACCTCTTATTCATTAAATTCTTTGAATAACTTCTCAAATCTTCATGATATAACATAACCTCATTAAAACAATACACATCACATATATCCTTGAATATGATCTTGTCTCTCAGGGTGGTTTTGCCCACTACTGACACCAAACCAGCTGTTTATCATTTTCAGGTGATTTATCCTCATCTTTCAACATTATTTTTTTCTTCAAAGCCTTCTCTGACTCCTAACATAGATCAAATTATCTTTCTTTGTACTGTAGATGTCTCCACTCCCAGTGAGGACACTGGCCTTTTGTTCTCTCCTTCTTAAATGACATAGTCTTGTCAATAAGGGTTTTACACTTCTCTTACAAATATCCAGTTCTTGGGCATAAAATTGAATGTAAAAGTGGTGAATGCATGCATGAACAGTGAACTGAATAGGCTCTGGGTATCAAGATTAAAATATAATTCATGTCTCCTGCCATAAAAGAAAAAGAAAAACAGGCTTCAGAAAGAAAAAGAGCCAATGAACTTTCACTTCATGGAAAGTGCAGCCTTGGTACTACAAATGATGGTTCTTTAGTTCTGATTTTTAAAAACTTATATAACAACATTGGGGGAAAACTTGAAAATTCAAAATATGCATCATACACATCAACAAAAAGAAATTTGGTACATTTATAAGTATTCTCTTTCCATTAATATATATTAGTTTGCATATATATACATATATAATACACATGCATGTAAACACATAAGCACATGCAGGGTCTTGCTGTCTTTAAACTTCAGTCTTCCTACTTCAGCTTTGTAAAAGCTTTGTATACAACTACAAGTATGTGTCAGTATGTCCAACTTAGACACATTTTAATAGTGCTGTATTTAGTTAAAGTTGCAATATAAGAATTTGGTTTACATTGTGAATATTTACCCACATAATTTTTGAGATACACATAAGCTCTGAATGAATAGAACATAACTTAATTGATTATCATTTTTTTCAGATATTTATCCTGTACAATTGTTAACGGCCACACCTAGGAATCCCAAAAATACCTCAATTACCATAATACTAACATGAAACATATGACAAATTATCCTAATTGTCCAATCCTTACTTGTTTTTCTTAGGGCAGTAATCCCAAACAATTAATTATCTTTTGGGATCCAAGATAGGTTTATCTACTTAATTTTCAGTAATAAAAAAATTAAGCCAAATTATTCCCTATAGCTCATTGATTTGTGGCTTCCTTTGTTGATTGAAGAGTTTAGGGTACTTCATATCCCTGAGTAATATTTGGGATGTGAAGTAGTTCATAGAGCCTATACCATCCTCTTTGGCTTGATACTCAGAGCTTTGTAGTTTACATTCAGTCACTTCTCTAAATTTATCCCCCTATAACATATACTCTCTTCTAACTGTATACTTTTCAAGAGTCATGTTAGAGGATGCTGTGATTGTCTCCTCATACTAATTAAATATAATACGCATAGTATACAATTTCTGCTAACAATGTTTGTGCAGCTCTTAGGTATTTAAACATTTACCACAACAGTAATATCAGTATTAACTATCTTTCAAATGTATCAGTTCCTTAGTGTTTCCAGTTGTTTTTCCTTTAGTAAAAATAAACATTTAGTTTCTCTGATGGTGAGCCTGCATTCTTTCAATATGTTAACTATGAAGGGCAATGGCTCCATAGTTGACTATCTGTACCCATTCAAGAATATCTTCTATCTTTTCTCTGATGGTTTTGGATTGTATTCAAATGACACTAGCAACAGACAGATTACTTCCTTGATGTCAGCTCTACTATTAAAAATGTGTTTTTATTGCATTAATTGTTAATATTGCAATGGTACAAACTATTTTATACATAAAATTATTAAAATAAAATAAAGCTATCATGCCTCCACTGCTTTCTTTATTATAAAATCAATATTCATAATTTCTTAGAAAGTTCATCCTAACTCTACCAAGCTTACATGGTCCTTTGAAACTGTTCTTTCCAGACTCTGAAAATACTTTGGTCTGATGAAACAAGGCTATGCACAGAGTAGCATTTATGCTTTGTGTTTCCTGCCTTGATCTCAGTTCAATAGTGGCAATCCTGCTTTCATTATGACAGTGTTAGGAGTCACTCTGCACTGGCTGCAGATTCCTGGGGAACAGGACTTGACAAACAAGGCATTTTGTCACCTGGGTTAACCTGCACATGGCAATCTCTTTGGCTCTCATTTTTTGTGTTTGTTCAGTGATGCTATTTGTCCATATACTACAGCTTTGTTTTGAAATTAAAAGAAATGGTATCTATAAACCTACAAAGGTATTTTTGTCACATAGCTGTGCTAGTAATTTCTTTCCCCCTTTTATTGAAAATAGATTTTTTTCCTCACATAATATATCCTGATTATAGTTTCCCCTTCCTCTACTCCTCCCAGTTCCTCCCCTCCTCTCCTCCCATCTGGATCTACTCGTATTCTCTCATTAGAAAACAAACAGGTGTCTAAGGGAATATAAAACAATATAATATAATGTAATACAAGAGATAAGACAAGACAAAAAACTAACACATTGGAACTGGACAAAAACAAACAGAAGGAAAAGAGCCCAAGAGAAGAATCAGTGACCCACTCATTTGAACACTGAGGAATCTCATATAAACACTAAACTCGAAGCTTTATTTAGTATATATGCAGAAGAGCTGGTGCAGACCCATACAGGCCCTGTGCATGTTGCCCCAGTCTCTATGAATTCACATGAACTTTGATCATGCTGATTTAGAGGGTCTCGCTTTCTTGGTGTCCTCCATCCCCTCTGGCTCTTACATCTTTTTGCTTCCTCTTTTGCAGAGTTCCTTGAACCCTGAAGGAAGAGATTTGCTGGAATTAAATAAAAATGAAATGTTGGTAGTTTCAGTTGTTCCATGTTTTGAAGAGCATAACTTTCCTTTCTACATGCCAGGTCTTCCTATCACATATCTCCAAGTAAGTACAATCTCTGACACCTGCCCAGGTCTGGACTAAGACATTCTTATATGTACTATGCTGATCACTACTTTCCTTTTGTTTCTTCCCTACTACACACTTAAGTTCTTGACCTCTAGACTGGCATTTATTCTTGGCACCATAGGCCAGGGGCTCTGACCACTCTAATATCCTCTCTCATTACTGGATCAGTCACTTGTGATGGTAAATAAAGAACATAAGACTAGGAACCTAATCCAATCCTAGTATCAGGCTTTTCCTCCAGATTTCTTTTTTTATATTATCAGCTCTCAAGGTTAGCAGTGGTTTTGGCTGTGTTATACCCATATTTTCTTTGCTTCCCAGGTCCAACTAGTATAGCTGTATTAGGAACACCATAGGGCTTCTTTGGCTCACCTTCTTAAACCAGTGAAAATCCATCTTAAATAAACCCATGACTATTGCACTTACCATTTCGAAATAGAGTTTTGATGCTGAATTCCAGTAGGGACTTTAGGAAGATGTGTTCCATTTACTTTTATAAATAGTTGGAGAATGAATACAATGTGAACTACTGAATTCTCTCACTGGCCAAGGATACACATGCAATG